ATATATATATATTATATTATCATTGTCACTGTAAAAGTAAATAGTTTCATTTGAAAGAAACCAAAGTTAATCTAGACTATCGGTGTAGAAAAGTCTACAAAAATAGGAAATATGTGATCGTTTCTTTTAATAGACACACAAGAGAATCTGCATATGTGGTCATATCAGTGTGTGCTAGTGCCGCATGGAAAAGATTAAATGTCTTGTGAAGGTCCTGGGCACTGTGCCAGTTGCAATGCCCATTGTGTGAGCAAAAGAACAAAGAATGACATTAAAACTTACTTTCTTGAGGTGTCTTCTAGGGCTGATTGCAGGGTGAAGTGAGCTGGGGATCCTGACCGTATAGAAGTCTTGTGCAGCCCTGCAGAAGAAGAGGAGATGGAGACTGCCCTCCTACACTAGCAGCTGCTGCCACAGCCGTCAGTGTGATGTCACAGGCCTGCAGTCTGCCTGCTGGAGCTCACATCTAAAGTGACTTCAGGGGGAAGGGCTGGGACATACCCCTTTCCATGCAGAAGACTGTAACTAGCTCTTCTCTGGGGAAAAAGAGAACCAAAATAACACAAAACATATTTAGACAGTTGTTTTGTACTGTTGATGATTCTGAAAGTGTAAAAGAGAAAGGATTGAACACAAGGTTACATAATATTGTGTGATTGGAGGGTCTGGAGGGGCCTTTTTATGTGGCACTAAACTAAGGAGTTCAATCTTAAAAAATACATTTCAAGTACCTTAACATTAGAGACAGAGCCAAAGAAATCACTCCACCGCACACTGCTGCAGAGTCTACCATAGACCCCGCACAGCCCACTTGAGACCCTGCAGAGCCCGCACAGCCCACCTGAGAGTCCGCAGAGCCCACCTGAGAGTCCGCAGAGCCCACCTGAGTCGCACAGCCCACCTCAGAAATCCACATAGACCACCTGAGAGTCTGCACAGCCCGCCTGAGAGCCCGCAGAGTGCATCTGAGAGGATGCAGAGTCCACCTGAGAGTCCACACAGCCCACCTGAGAACTCGCAGAGTGCATCTGAGAGGATGCAGAGTCCACCTGAGAGCACGAACAGCCCTAGTGAGTGCCCGCAAAGGCCACTTGAGTCCCTGGAGACATCAGGTTGCCACCCCGGAGCAACACAAAGTATGTAGCTTCATATTATTTTGTATTGCTGTACAATGTATTGCTGTGATTTTTAGTCCTCTATAGCTAGTCTCCTTACTTCCTCCCTGGCTGTCTTTCCTTCCTCTCTCTCCTGGCTGCCTCTCCTTGCTCTCTTCTCTATATTCTCCCCCAAAAAAATGCCATGCAAGGCGCTAGACTGTTCGGGTTTCACTTGAAGTAAAAGTTGGCAACCCTAGCTCCAAGCTCCCTCCCGTGATGGACTACAATCTCAATACAAATGAGTAAACTAAACATGAGATTGTAGTCCATCATGAGAGTGAGCTTGGAGTGGTGACTACTTTACAACACACACAGGGACCACGGGGAACAAAAGTAGCCACCCTCCAGATGGAAGGACAGTGTCAGCACCAATTCAGAGATGATTTGAGGATCTACAGCCGAGTGATACACAAATAATATACATTTATGTTACTAGTTAAGGTACTTGGATGCATTTTTAAGATTTACCTCCTGAGTTTAGTGTCACTTTAACCCCTTCATCACCGAGGCCTTTTTTTTCTTCTTTTTTTTGCACCAATGTTATAATCCACATTTTAGGCCTCAAAATTACTTCAAACCCGCAAACATTATGAATTTTCTGAAAGCTAAGACCCGGTAGAATATAATGTCAGCAGTTGCAAATTTTTTTGTTGCACGATATTAGCACAACGTATTATCAAACCCCAACATTTTGTGAAAAATGCACTTTATACCCCAAAACACAACAAAATACCCATTTAAAAAAAATTAAATATAAAAGATGAGATTACAACGAGTAAATAGATACCCATCATGCCCAGGTTTAAAATTGTGTGCGTCCGTGAAACTGCGACAAAATTCAGTACCCCAAAAAGTCCAAAGACAACGCTTTAACCCTTCCCCTGCCACCGCCGTAAGGCATGCGGCGGAACAAAACTGTTCCCAGCTGGCCAGGTCAGTATGCCGTACTGCGGTGGCATTCACAGTTTTGCTATAAGCTCATCGTCTCTTTACCGACTATGAACTTATACCAAAACTGTTCCCTGGACCGTCCCCTTTAAATTATTAGCTGTCATCAGCGGCTCACAAGCCGCTGATGACCGCTATTAACAAAAATACCGGGCGCCCCCACCCCTGCCGGCACCGCATCTGGAGCCTCTTGTCCCTAGCTGGAGCCGCTCCTGAGGGATCTGTGCCTGCATGGATCCCCGCTGCTCTCCCCTGCTGGGAAGAGCTGAAACAGCGGGTATCCGAGCGGTGAGGAGATCGGAGTCGCTGTCATCCTGTCAGTTTCAGGATGACAGCCACTCTGTGTGTGGCCGAGCGGAGGATCGGTAAATATCAGTGAGAAACAGAGCCCTTCTGGTTTAAGTAGGGTCTACTATGCCTATCTACTATCTACTACTAAACACCCCAAATACATCAAAGCTGACTTTAAAGTGTATTATTTTATGTGTGCAAGGGGGGACGGGGAACGAGGGGAGAGTGTATTATTTTATGTCTGCTGGGGGGGCGGGGAACAAGGAGAGTGTATTATTTTATGTGTGCCGGGGAGGTTATTATTGTGTATTAGTGGGATGGGTTGTATTTCTGTGTGTGTGAGTATTAGGGCGCATTCACACTGTAAGTTTAAGTGTGTTTAGGGATTACTGCATCAGGAAATGGGGTTTTCCTGCAGCAGGAATCTCTAATCTGGCGTTTAGGCCTGGTTCACTCCTAGGTGATTTATTGCGTGGATTTAGCCGTGCGGAATCGCACAAAACACAGATCTGCATTCAAGTCAATGGAGGCTGTTCACACCTTTGCGTTGCGCGGCTGAAATCGCCTGCAGGAGCTATTTTCAGGCTGATGCCGGGCGGTTTTACTCCCATAGACATTTCTATGCATTGAAAACTGCGCTGTTTTCAAAGCAAAATCGCACTAAAAAAAGTGCAATAAACGTGCAAAAACAGCTCAACAGCCTAATCACCTAGGTGTGAACCAGGCCTAACAAGCGGCAAATGTCACACGTTCAAGTTAATGATCAGGTGACAGCTGCTGCATGTAAATGCCTGCACACCGCATGTAATCATATGTGATACGATTATATGCAGTTAGGAATCGATCACTATCCCTGGACACATCAAGAGAGAGAAGCGGATTGGTTACTTTGGGCAAATGCTCCAGATTCTGTCTGCTCCAGTTTTGATTCCCCTCAGGGCATTTTTTTTAAGTTGATCACACAAGCATCGCCACACATAATATTCTTACAATTAAATCCCCTCTCCTCCGATGCCATAACTGGTCTGTTGTGTGCAGTGGGATCAGTTTACTGCTAATATGTTGACCATTCACTGCAGAATGTCAGAATATATGCAGGGACACTTGCCTGTTAATTACGTCAAATTTCACACATGTATGAAGAGATCAGTCCAGAGCTGACTAGATAGAAGCACAGGATTTATTGTGTTTATTTAAATGCACAGTTTCTGCAAATGACCAGTCAGTCTGCTATCAAGTTAGTTTTTGTTTTGGATTGATTGAGAAATAGTTACAATTTAATTCATAAGCCTCAGTGTGCTGTTTTTTTGTTGTTGCTTTTTTAGCTTTAATACAGTATCACAGGTAGCCAGGGCTGTCCCTTTAATAAGGCAGCCTGAGGCGTCAGGTGGCATCTCTTTCAGTCATGTGGGGGGCAGCCGGCCGAGCGGCACATTTGTTGTATACTGGCCACTCTGCTGCAGAATGTTGGGAATGTACCAATGTACCTGCCACCCCCTTTCCGGTCAGAGTGTCCCAGGTTGCAAAGAGCCTGGCATGGAGATGTGTAAGGGCAGTGCGGGTACAAGGATTTTTGCCTAAACAGGCGAAGGTGCATTTTTACACTAGTGCCAGCTCTGACCACATTGTTCCGTCTACCCCAAAACCTGAAGACATTTCCTCACTAGGAGCAGGAGGGTCCAATTAAGTGGTCAAGTGTGTGCATGTCATGGGACTGTGAAATGAAGACAGTGGATGGCGGTAAAGAAGAATTATAGGATGAGTGAAAACCACTCTAGCCCATAATTCAAGCCCGTCTGTGACAAAGAAGCTATCACAGGTCGGCTCTGTTGATCGGGAAGTCAGAGAACACACACTGCCGATCGCTGATTTCCCAATCCTGACCCTGCAGAGAGCGGAGACTGTCAGTCACCACTCCCCGCAGGGATTCCCCCCTCCCCTCTACGATCCTCCAGCGCTGACTGAAGAAACGGACGGGGAAATGGGAGTGCACAGCTGGCTCTGGTTCTAGAGAGGCAGAGCCAGCTATCAATCAGCCAGCCAGCTGGGTGGATCTCTATAGTATTGTTGGGATCCGTCCCGGCTGTGGAGCTCTCAGCATATAGCAGGCAATAGCCCGTTATATACTGAGTTCTGGGTCACCGGAGGACTGCGCGATTGGCAGTGGGGAGTGATTCCATGAGCGCGCAGTTTCGTGCACGATTGCCGCCCGGTCACGGATCGCCCAGGTGGGAACCTGGCCTAAGATGCTGTTCATTGTGGGGGTCAGAAACAGGTCAGTGAAGGAGAGAAGAATGTTGAGAAGGGGTGAAAGGAATGTCATTTTATTATTCTGAACACACTTTAGGAAAAGCAGAGGGAAAAAGGCTAAGGCCAGTTATCTTTATTTACTTATTACAACAAGAAATACACACCCCTCCCCCTACCTGCAGCTCGGGAGCAGAAGACAGTGCAGACATCTGACATTACTCACAGTGGACGGCCAGAAGGAATTTCTGCGAGCCGCTTCACAGACAGGACGTCAGGGCTCACAGCCACCAACATAGAGCAGCTTTAGCAACTCAAAAATCAGCCTTCACAGAACAGGAGGCAGAGGCGGCCCTAACATTACAGCTGACGGAGATCCATAACATTGCTCCAGATATCTGAGGCCGTTTGCCTGCTGGCCGGATGATACCATCTTTGTGCCCCACCAGCGTCCTCAAGCAGCCGCTTGAGGTGTTTGTACAATAGCGCCGGCTCTGTGTAAGGGCCATACACATCTCCCAATGACAGGTCCTCTTTATAGAGACATCTATTAGACCTCTGATATCATATTGGGGGACGGCATCCCCGGCGATGGAATGGGATTCCTCTAAGGCCTTTATTTGGGGACAGTACCAGTATGTGATCAGGAAGACTAGTGCAGAGTTGCGGGGACAAATAATTGAAGCTGAGGGGCGGGAGAATTGGAGCGTAGGTACGCGGACACCAAGGAACCCGAGCTATACACGGAATTGCAGAGTGTGCACAGAGACCTTAACTTGACGCGTACGGACGCTGCCCGCAGGTGCTTAT